ATGTATGTATATATGTGTATGTATATATATATATATGTATATATATAGATGTGCACGTGCGTATGTATGTATGTCTGTATGCGCATGTACGTATGTCTGAATATAATGATGAGGGTGATGATGGTGAAGTGGATGATGCTGCTGATGATAATGATGATGACGATGACGAGGATGACGATGACGATGGCGATGCGATGACGATGGTGACGGTGACGATGACGATGACGATGACGATTATGATGACGATGGCGAGGTTGATTATGATGATGACGATGATGATGTTGGTGGTGGTGATGATGATGATGGTGGCGATGATGATGATGACGATGCTGCTGATAATGATGATGATGATGATGATGATGGTGATGATGATGATGATTGCTCCAATATAGACGCGGTCTGGGAGCGAAGCTCGCCCGGCCGCCTCATGGCATTACATTTTCCAGGCCACGTCCTCCCCCGAGACCCAGGGGACTCTAGGACCCGCGGGCGGGCGCGGCAGTGCCTCTCAAGGCCCAGGCGCACGCCGCCAAGTTCTCCAGGCCGCGCCCCGCCGACGACGAGAGGGGGGGGTGGCCCAGGGGGGGGATGACACCCATGTCAAGCGGTGGCAAAGCGTCCTGGCTCGCCTATAGGCCCACCAAAGAATGTTCTAAGCACTTGTCGTGCTCTGCACAAGATGTTCTGAGAACCTTTCTGGCTGGGACTGTCTTGTTTAGCGCATCGGTTTCATGTTCCAAGAGCGCAGCTTTTGCTGTTGGAAGGTTCTTGGGGTCCTACGAACGTTCCGTGGTAGGCCTATAGGAATGCCAGGACGGCCTGTCCCTGGCAGGGACCGCGCCAGGGGCCACATAGAACTCCATGGGAACGCGCAGACGCACGAGCGCAGCTCTACTTTTTGGGATGCAAGCGCGACGCGCGTGTCCTTACTGGAACCACGAGGGGGGCACGCGTGTGCCTCCATTTTCTACGAGCAGGGGCCTCTGTTCCGTAAACCGATGCCGTGCTAGTCCCTGCTCAACCACGCGGAGGAGCCGAGGGGGGCCCGAGGCCCGCCGGGCGGCCCCACGGGGGCAGGGCGCCCTCTGACCGCCTGCGAGGTCGAGGGCCCGCACCGCCGCAGCGGTTCGCAAAACGCGGTGAGTCGGCAGGCCCGCGCAGCGGATAGGCTGGCGCACGCAAAGGCACGGGTAGGCTGGCACATGAAAATTTGTGCCTGGACCTCAGCGGGCCCTGGAAACGACAGGGCCGTTTTTTTTACCGGTTCCGTTTTGCCGTTTTTGTGCCGGTTCCGGTGCCGTTTTTTTACCGGTTCCGTCGCCGTCTTTTGACCTGTTCCGGCTCCGGTTCCAATCCTGGAACCGTTTTTTTGACGTTTCCGGTCGCCGTTTTTTTGCCGTTTCCATTTTCAAGGGGCATTTTTTTGGAAACGGTCAAAAAACGGCCCTGCCGTTTCCGGGGCCCACAAAACATGGATTTGGGCACCCGAAATTGGGTACGCAAAGAATGGACACGATGCACAGCAACAAATGTTGCCCCCCCAAAACCGGCAGCAGCCGCTGTTGGTTGATGGCGGGTGGCCTTTTTGTCTCCAGCGCGGCGACGGCTCCGACAAAGCAGGAGGAAGGCCTTCTCAGAAGGCGCCTTGACTGCTCCGACGCCCTCGCGCCTTCTGAAGAGTTTGTTTGTGTCTTCGGGGAGGTATTCGAAGCCTTCTCGTGGAAGTTTCGGGGAAGTTTCTTTGCTTCGTTGGAAGTTATTGGGTCTTCGGGGAAGTCTTCGAAACCTTCTCATAGAAGTTTCGGGGAAGTTTTTCCTCTTGAGTATTCGGGGAAGTCTTCGGGGAAGTTTCTGTGTGTGTTCGGGAAGTTCTTTGCGTCTTCTCAGAAGGTGGGAGGATTTCCGAGCCTTCTGAGAAGGCCTGCCCCTTCTCATCTTCCCCTCCGGGCGCGCCGCCTAGGGAGGGGGCAGCACGCGCACGCCGAGCACTCGCGTGGCGCACGCGCGCGCGTTCTCTGGAGTGCTTTTAGGATTCTGCGGCGCGGGCCCCCCGAAGACCCTTCGGGGTGGGGGAGTTAGGTTTAGAGGATCTGGGAAAGAAGATGAGGGCACGCCCACTCCGTGCCCAGAGGCACGATTGCCGATATACATATATATATATATATATAGAAACATGTATATACATACACACCTCCGTACATCCATGCATACATGCATACATACATGCATGTACATGCACATATGAATATACGTAGTCAGGTATAGATCTGCATACATATAAATATATACACAAACATATACACAAGCAAAATACTGGTGCATATACATACACATATCCATGCGTGCATATTCATACACACGTACAAACAGGTACTCCTATACATATGCGTAGACATGTGCATGCCTATATACCAACACCTATATGCACACGTACAGGAGCATGCACATATCCATATACGTATACATACACACATATACATACACACGTACACGTACACATACACAAACACGTACATGTACACGGACACCTACACACACGCAGACACATACATTTACACGTATGTATACACATATGCACACATACACACGAATGTATACACATACATGCATACCTATGACCCAACTGCCTGAAGCAAGTTCCGCCACCGTGACAGCCCGACATTCTGGGTGGCGATTGTTCGAGGGGGCACCTGAGGTAGTCACGTGTGACATTTCGTATCTCCAGGAGGATGAGGCCCTTCCTGGAGGCGAAACAAGGTGTCAACTATATATATATATATACGTTCCCCAATCAGTGCTGGCACTGAAGGGGTCCTCGCGGATGTTGCTAGAGTTGGCGAAAGTGCCTCGCCGATTTTGGTGGCACGCTGGGTTCCCCGGTTCCAAGTTCCGGGTTCGAGGTTCCCGGGTTCCTGGTCATTGGTTCCGGGCCGATGGTTCACTACCGATCTCCTTGTCGAGTTCAGTATACGGGTCTCATTGGTTCCCGGGTTCCCGGTTCCGGGTGTTTGGGTTCCTGATTATTGGTTCCGGGCCGATGGTTAATTATCGATATCACTACAGATCTCATTGGCGAGTTCATTACGGATCTCATTCAATGTTCCCCAATCAGTGCTTGCATTCAAGGGGTCCTCGCAGATATGTTGAAGGATTTGGCGAAAGTGCCTCGCCGATTTTGGTCGCACGCTGGGTTCCCGGTTTCCCGATTCCGGGTTCCCAGGTTCCCAGTTCCGGGTTCGTGCCGTTTTCGGAGGGTGGCGAGGCTCCCAGGTTCCCGGGTTCCTGGTCGATTTTCTTATCGATCGGTCTCAACATCGATCTCATTACCGATTTCTCGATCGATCTCACCATCGATCTCACAATCGATCTCATTATCATATCACAAGCGACCTCACTAGAGATAGCATGAGCAATTTCGCGATCGATCTCACGATCGATGTCATTGAATGGATTACACTCTCGGTCTCACGATCGACCTTACAGTCGTCCTCTCCATCGATTCCACTATCGATCCCATTATCGATCTCACAATCGATCTCAAGATCCATAGTATCAACTTTCGAATCATCCACTGATTGGGTTTTCTCAGGTGTAATATATACATATGTATATATATATATATATATATATGTTATGCTGTTTCATCCCGTTCTACTCCCAGCCGTGCAGCTGGTATTTCGTACCAGTACCATGTTTGAGGAAGAGTGCCCGTGGCGCTGAGGCAAGAGCGCGACTACATGTGAACTTGGAGGCCCCAGGGAGCCTGCTGTTGCTGTGTTGGAGCAATCTTGGAGCCCTCTCTTGGATGCCTCTAGGGGCCCTCCTGGAGCGCTCTTGGGCGCTCTCATGGCTGTCTTGGGCCCCGTTGGCCCCCGCCCTTGAAGCTGTCGCGTGCGATATTGGAGCCATCCTGGGGCTGTGGAGGCACATCGGGAGCGGGTAGGCGATAACGGACACACACACACACACACACACACACACGACGCAATTCGGGCGTTGTTGAGTGGATTCGGCCTCTCGGACGCGATCTTGGGAGGCTCTCCGAATCCACCTGGACCCGTCTTGTGACAGTCTTGGGGCGTCTTCGAGGCTTGTTGGAAGTCCGCTTGAGAAATCCTGAATCTGTTCTTGTCATCTTGGAGGCCATCTTGTGCTACCTGGGGCGTTCTTGGAGCCACATTGGGCCATTTTGAACGCTCCAGCGCGTCGCGTCCCCCCCACACCCAGTCCAGCCCAGGGGGATGGGGGAGGGGGAGGAATCAAGTTCCCAGCGGAAGCGCCGCAAGCTGCTTCGCTCACTTTTCGCTGCGCTCCCGCCAGATCAGGAGCACCCGAGTCTCCGCTCAAGGAGGGGCCGCCATCGACAACCATCGGGAACCGATGCCGACGCCAGCCAGGCACGCCCCGCGCACCAAGCGCGCCGGGCGACCCCTAGGCTCAAGCGCGCGCGGCGCGCCAGACGGGACACGGTGCGCCACGTGCTCCAGGCGCGCCGGGTGCGCCGCGTAGGCGTCGCGCGCAGAGTGCGTCAGGTGCGCCAGCGAACGTTGCAGCGCGCTTCGGGCAACGTGTCGACCCCCACCAACCCTGCCCCCCCCCCCACCCCCCCCCAAGAAAAAAACAGCATTGTGTATGGTGGTGCGTGGACGCGGAATGACTTCGCATGTATGTTTGGGACAGCGGCTGTGAACGTGCGCACGGCGGGCAGTATGATTGCACCTTCGCCGACCCTTCCAATAAAACAGTACAGAGGCAGAGTGACCGCGGGCGCCAGAACATGATTCAGAGTTTGTTGCACGTGCTTCTTCGTATTGTTTTTTTTCTGCCAGGGGAGGTGGGGCGTTGTTCTTGGCCGGTCGCCAGTCCAGTGGGGGTGGGGGTGTTTACTATTCAGGAGCAAGGGGTCCCGAAGGGGAAGAAGGGCGATGCAGCAAGACCGCACTCGCTAAACCATCTACGCGCAGGGGGGCAGGTGGGAGTTGTACCTGGGCCTCCCCCGTTTGCGCCTGCAGCGGGCTAGTTTCTGTTGGGTGGTTGGTGGGGGCGTCTGCTGCGGGCTTACTTGCATGTGCTTTCGAGACTCGCAAACTCCCGACGACCCTCCACCTCTCACACTAGTCATGTCTTATCCGCTTCAGCGGGGCTTACGGTAAGGATGGTGATGGCGACGGCCATGGTGACTGTGAGTATATGGAACAAGCGGGAGATTTTCATGAGTAAGTTGGCATGGCGAGGATGAGAAGGAGGAAGACTATGGTGCTGCTGGTGAATATAGGTATCGGGTATATGATGGCGACGGTAAGACGGATGAAGAACGGATTAGGATGCATTTGGGTGGGGGGTGCGATGGCGATGAGGAGCATGAGAGAGGACGTGTAGGTGGATGCGGAGGCGACGATGGACCGCGGGTGTGAGGACGAAGGAGGAGAGAAACAGACGCATTGGTGCAGGAGGATGTGCAGGAGGAAGGAGGCAATAGTTGTGCAGCAGCGTGGCGTTGCCAAACGTAAAACTGAGAACGACATCCCGATGCCTTGGTCGGAATGGGGAATTAGACGAAGAGCAGGGCGACGGACGATGGGGAGGATGAGGACCGGGCGTGTCCAGAGGAAGAGGATGACTACGATGAGGAGGAGGACGACGGCGAGGGGACGGTCGACGAGCAGAATGCTATGCGGGAAGCTAGGCGGAGGGGAAGACAGAGGATGATGCGATTGCTGGGGGGAGGAGGAGAAGGAGGAGGAGGAGGAGGAGGAAGCGCCGTCTGGTTTGGAATGAACGTTGGGTTGGAAGTGGAGGGAGGGAGAAGAGATACAGGAGAAGCGGCGGGAGGTGGAGGCAGCGGAGGAGAATGCAGCACTCTAGCCACTCCCGAGTGGGCCATGCTCAGAGGCGCTCGCCGAGTCCATCGGCATCAACACCACGCCGCCTGCTCGGTTGCCTCGCGCGCGTTCGGCCGGCCGGCGCGCGGCGAGCCCGTGTAATCCATCACTTGCGGGGATCTCTCACCCTGTCCACGTGCGTTCTCCCCGTGAGGGTGGTGGCACTGGCTCGCGCCGCTTGCCGCCCAGAGCGAGGACGTGCCAGTGCTCTGGTTGCTGGATCTTCTGTGAGCATCAGTGCGCCCGGGTGCCATGTGAGGGGGCGGAGGGTCCTCCAATCCCTTTCCCCTCTCCGTCGAGTCTCATTCCCACACGCTCCCTTGCCCTCCCTTGTCCCACTTTTCAGATCCCCTCCCGCGTCCTCTCCGCGAGCTCCTCCTCCTCCTCCTCCTCCTCCTCCGCCTCCTCCTCCTCCTCCTCCTCCTCCTCCTCCTCCTCCTCCTCCCTCCTCCTCCTCCTCCTCCTCCTCCTCCTCCTCTCCTCCTCCTCCTCCCCTCCCCCCCTCCTCCTCCCTCCTCCTCCTCCCGTCCCCTCCTCCTTCCTCCTCCTCCTCCTCCTCCTCCTCCTCCTCCTCCTCCTCCTCCTCCCCTCCTCCTCCTCCTCCTCCTCCTCCTCCTCCTCCTCCTCCTCCTCCCTCCTCCTCCTCCTCCTACCTCCCCCCCCTCCTCCTCCCCCCTCCTCCTCCTCCTCCTCCTCCCCTCCTCCTCCTCCCCTCCCTCCTCCTCCTCCTCCCTCCACCTCCTCCTCCTCCTCCTCCCTCCCCTCCTCCCCGCTCCCCCCTCCCCCCTCCCCCCTCCCGCCTCGGGCTCGTTCCAGGGGCCCTCGCCGGCACGGCACGCCAGGCCCACGGGGCGCCCGCCTCTCGAGGGAGCGCCGGGCAGTGGCGGTCCCGATCGGGAGGGCGCGCGGGGACTCGCGGCCGAGACTCACAGGGAGGAAAAGCCACCCAGCAGGCCCCGCCGGGTACTCCAACTCCTCTCAGGAGGGGACAAAAACACACAGACACAATTCATCGCCGATTCCCCTGAAAAAATAGGGGAACAAATGGGAGGTGGGGGGGGGGGAGGACGAAAGAGCCGAGAACAGATGGGAGAAAATATGGGGATTGGTTTTATTCGTGTGTTTTGATTCGTGTGTCCCAGTTCCCTTTCATCCTCCGCCGCCTCGCCCCCCGCGCTCCCTCCGCAGCCGCCCCGGCCCGCTCCCGCGGGCACGCGCCATGCCTGCCGCTCGCCGGCCCCCCGCCCCCACGGTGCCAGCTCCTCCCCGCGGGGGCAGCGACTCGGGGGGGGGGGGGGGGGGGAAACACACAGACACAATTCATCCTCGATCCTCCCGCCTTATATCCCGCTTCATCCGGCTTAATCCCGCTGAATCCCGTTTAATCCCGCTTAAATGCCGCTTAAATGCCGCTGAAGCCGGCTTGATCCCGCTCGATCCCGTTTGATCCGGCTTCATCCTGCTTGTTGCGAGGCCCGTCCCGGCGTAACGGCTCCCAAATGGGGCGCAGTCCTCCTTAATTCTGGAGGGGAAGAAACACACACAGACACAATTCATCCTCGATCCCCCAGGAAATATGGGAAAATATAGGAAGTGGGGGGGGGAACATATGGCCAAAGATAGGGAATCCTGCTAATTGTGTGTATTTCTTTGTGTGTCCCAGGGCCTCTTCAGGCTGGGGGGAGAGGGGCGCTCCCGGGGGCGGAGGCGCCGCCCCCCGTGGCCCAGGGGTCGCCGCCGGGGGGGGGCCGCCAGGCGCGCCCCGCCCTGGGGCTCGTGGGTGCTCGCAACATTGGGGCAGATCGTGGTGGAAGCCGATGGATGGAGAGGAAGCGGGTCGGGCGAAAGGGGGGGGGTGGGAAAGGGGGGGGTACGAAATCTGCTGCATGCAGCTGGTTTCGGCCTCACCGAGGGGCCCATTCCTCGATACATGGCCGCCTCCGGCGCCGGGAGGCGCCTGGAAAAATCAGCTACGTGAGCTGATTCTCAAACCCCCCCTTTGCTATCCCCCCCTTTCGCCCGACCCGAAGGAAGCGTGCTGCCACATACCTTCCCTGGGGTCTAAAACATGTCTCAAACATGCTTCAAATCCGTAAAAAAACATGCTTGGAACATGTCTAGAGCATGTGGTACACCCTTGGAACACATCTTTGGTTCAATGATGGGACTGTGAGGGTGTCCATGGGCATGGCATCCACAAGCACAGCGCCGGCCTGTCAGCGATGCATCGCCGAGGCGAGGTCGATGTTTCCCCCCCTTTGAGCCAGCTTCCCCCCTTGTCGTTGCCCCTCATCCTCGCCGGCGGGGTGCGGTGCTCCAGGCAGCGGCATGGAGTCCGACGGGCAGCGCGCGCCGGCCACTGGCTTTGCCCCTCCTCCCAGGAGCCCAGCCTCTCCCGGCTCGCGCTGAAGTCGTCCTCCTCCATGTTGTATTCCTCTCTCTCTGTCTCCCTCCCTCTGTATGTACACATATATATATATGTATGGTCCTCCCCCCCCAGTATCATACCTTTCGCCGTTCTGCGTGTCATTACTTCGTCTGCTCCTTCTTCGCCGTGGGCGTTTATGTCCCCTTCTCGCTTGATCTCTTTACCTGTCCACTCCCTTCACCGCGTTCTCTCCTCTCATTTCTATTGGGCGGAGATGGGGAGGAGGAGGACCAGATTGGATATTGGAGATTGGAGCGAAGACGAAATGTAAGATACTGAGGGGGGCGATAATAAATACATATATATATATATATATGTATATATATATATATATATATATATCTGTGTGTGTATCCCCCTCCCTGCTTCTCTCCGCGGAGGCGGCGGAGGAGGCAGCCTCCTTCCTCCTCTGCACTCCGCTATCATTATCCTCCTCCTCCTCCTCCTCCTCCTCCTCCTCCTTCTCATCCTTCTTCTCCACCTCCACCGTCCATCCAGGAGTCGGGCACCTGGCAGCAGCCCCCCAGGGCTCGACAGCGACAGTTCGCTCGACGGGGAGGAAGACGAGGGCGAGAGCTGCAACCGGGACCTGTCACCAGACCAGGTGGGGACAGATGCTTTCTGCGAGAAGTGGTACTGGGGCCACGCAGACAGTACGCGGCAGCCCCCAGAGGAGATCTCGCTTAAGATGAGGGCCCTTCTGTTCCCTCTGAAGGCCCTGCCAAACCAGAAGTTCTACCACCAGTTCGCGGAGTACGTGCTCTGCCCGTCGTACCTGGACAGCAAGGCGCGCGGCTCCCCTGCTGGCGCGGGCTGCCCCTTTCTGGGCGGCACCGCCTACCTGCGACACGCGGAGGTTCAAGCAGCGACGAAATGTCCCAGTCTGGTCGTAGGCCTGTCAAGAGACTGTTGTAAGAAAGCACGTTGCGCTGCGCCTGGCATGGTTTAATATATCCAGCTGCCTGTGCAAGGTCCTGCCGCCGTGCCAGCCCAGCCTTCTGGTGGACGCCTGTTCGAGGGGGCACGGGAGGCCGTCACGTGCGACACCTCGTGTCTATAGAGGCTCGGGAGAGCTTTGATGAGGATAGTGATGATGATGCTGCTGATGATGATGATGTTGATGATGCTGATGAGGATGATGATGATGATGATGATGATGATGATGATGATGATGATGATGATGCTGAGGATGAGGATGAGGATGATGATGAGGATGATGCTTAGGATGATGATGAGGATGAGGATGAGGATGAGGATGATGCTGATGATGATGATGATGATGACGATGATGATGCTGCTGATGATGATGATGATGATGATGATGATGATGATGATGATGCCGAGGACGAGGATCAGGATGAGGATGAGGATGATGCTGATGCTGATGCTGATGATGCTGATGATGATGATGAGGAGGAGGAGGAGGATGATGATGATAATGATTACGAGGAGCAGGAGGAGCAGGAGGAGGAGGAGGAGAAATGTTATCGCATGTGACATTCATCGTCAGTCTTCACTTCATCAGGAGCTCTCATGGAGCTCATCAGGGCCGTCTTTGGACTGTCTTGGCCTCCTGTGGGGTAGTCTTAGGGGTCCCTTGGTGCCCTCTTGGAGCGTATTGGGACCCTCCTTAGACCGTATTGGGGCTCTCTTGGGCCATCTTCGGGCCTTCTTGGCCGTATGAGGCGTCTGGGGGCCCTCGTGGGACCGTCTTGGGCCGTCGAATGGCTTTCTAAGGACGTACTGTGTCCCTCCAGAGGCTTTGTTGGGCCGTTATGGGGCCGTGTTGGATGCGTCTTGGGCCATCGCGGCATCCTTCTGGGCCATCTGGGGAATTTCTTGGGCGCATATTGGGCCGTCCTGGGGCCATCTTGTTGGCTCCTTGCGCCGTCTCGAGCTGACAGAAGCCACCACGTGCGAGAATGCAAACACTATTCGAGAGGATTGCGCCATTCCGCCGACACCAAGGCGGAGTGGGTTCTTGTGGGCGCCTTGGTGGGCGTCTGGAAGAGCCACCTCGGAGTTTCCTGGGCGCTTGCTGGCTGTTTCTTGGACGCCGTCGCGCGCATGGGATGCTTGTGTCCAAGGCCCGAAAACCATCACTTCACTAATTTTGGGCCCCAGGGCCCACTGAGGCCCCAGGGGCCCTAGATTAGTGAAGTGATGTTTTTCCCCACGTAAGGACCCCGAATTTCATCACTTCACTAAACCGAACCCAGGACGAAAGTCAGGGGCCGAATTGCTGCTGTGATGCCACATCGGCCTCGAAGAGTGGCCGTCGCGCAGCCGCTACTCTGCGCACTGGGCTCACTCGTCATGCGCCTCGTCGGGAGGGAGCACTGAAATATGTTGCGCGTCGCGCATGAGGCGAGATGCTTCCGGAATGACGTCGCGGATGGTCGATCTAATTGTCTCATCTTGTGATTCGGAGAATAAGGTAGAACGAAGAAAACGATTAAGCACACGACGACGGCGAGCGGAAGGAGGAAAAGGAGGAGGACATCGATGACAACGCGGCGATTTATAATGCCGTCCCAGGCTCTGTTCGAGGCCCCCTTCGTGCAGCTGAGGGGTATCTCTGGGGATCCTCTAGAGGTTTGGGGGTCTCGTCTGA